GACAGTTAGATGGACTGAGTGAGTGGGAGAGAGAGACAGGTAGACAGACCGTTAGATGGACTGAGTGAGTGAGACAGGCAGACAGGAGTCCTCTAAAAGTCTCCAAGACCTGAATGACTGTATGAGAGAGAGACACACACACAGAGAGAGAGAGAGAGACAGACAGAGAGAGAGAGGGAGAGGAGTGTATGTGCGTGTGTGTCTCAGTGCCTCTGTGTGTTTATCAACATCACTAATGAGCTCATATAAACACCTGTGTGCTTGGGTGCATGTTGGTGATTGGAGCACCTGTGTGTTAGAGGCTAATTAAGAAAGAGTGAACAGTGATTTTCAACAAAACTACCTGTCAAACATATGCCCTTTATACCAAAACCATGAGACTAATCAATAAAATATGGATACCGTCAGAGAGATAAGACTCTGGCAAACGCGGAGATGTGTTTTTTATGTTTGTGGTGTTAAAAATGTGAGCTCAAGCGCAATATGCAAAACTGGTACCGTCTGCTTTCTTTGAGAAATGAGTGGTCAGATTTAACATGGAGTCTAATGGAGCAGTTGGTTGGAGTTGATGTCGCTCTGCGGCTCCCTGAGCCAAATGTGTAAATCAGTTGGATTCCATAGATACTTTACTGCGACCAGCACAACATTTCCAAGCTTTTTGGCCAAAATGGTGTATAAAGAGTAAAAATTGTGGGAGCTAGAGCAATTTGTTTGGAAAAATCACAGAAGATTTTCCTGCTCTGCTCCACTCTGAAAGTTATGCTCTCACTCTAGCTCTTAACGAGCCGTGCAATACACACCCATTATAAAATCTGAAACAGACCCAAAATCTTCCTGAAACTTAATCTGTGACTTCATGAAAACTGTGCTAGCTATCAAAATGTCCCTTTGGATCAATAAAGTGCAGCGTTTTGTCTACGTTTTAAACTTTGAATCATGTTTCTACATTAAAGTATGGTTCGTCAATATGGGCCCAAAGTTAAGTGTTTTTTTGCTCTCTTCACACCGGAACCCCATTCAAGTGAATGGGGACATTTTGCTCAGTTTTTGGGGATTTTAGGGAATTTTCGGTAAAACCGCTTGGCAAATCTCTCCGAAAAATAGATAGCACACTATTCCCGATCAGGCCGCACGTTTTGATGTATTTTTCACGACGCTGTTGGCAACGCTGTGTGAGGAGAAGCGCGCCAAACTTCAATTTGCTCCGTTTTTAGTGGTTTTCCGGGATTTTCGGGAAAACCGCTGGGCGAATCTCTCCGAAAAATAGTTTCCGCGCTATTCCCGATCAGGCCGCACGTTTTGATGTATTTTCACGCCGCTGTTGGCAACGCTGTATGAGGAGAGGCGCGCCAAACTTTTGGATAAAGCTGATGATGAGGATTATTATTATTAAGCCCGATGGATAATATACAGTGTGCTTTGGCACAGGCAGTTTTACTGCCTTGTGCCACAAAGCCACACTGAACTATCTTGAACGTTTTTCAATGTGCATTATTCAGCACAAGAGTTTGTTTGTTGTATCCAAATAAAACTACAAACTCAAGCACTGGATCCGTGATTCATTTACTGCCAGCGCGTCCGCAGGTTAGTCTCCCCTACTCAGCCTCT